GAAGAGGCATGACTCTCTGATGGCTTTTTGGAATATAGTCCCTTCAGAGTAGGCCCATAGCTAGGATTTTTTGGGGGGGGTTGTAATTTAATTAAGTAATAATAAATAATGATCTATGAAAATTTACTTTAGAAAAAAACCTTGTTTAAGGTGCTAAAAGAGACTGGTTTGTAATACTTTTAAGACCAGGTACCAGAGATAGAAACTGTATAAAGTCCAGAATTCTTTTAGGCTAAGTGTTCAAAAACAAAGAAAAGAGGGAGGCGAGGAAAGATACTTCGAGAGTTTGGCATGCCTTTGAGCACTGCCTCTTGCGCAGAGCTGGGGGCCATTTGGAAGGCAATTAATTTTGGAAATAAATCAGCCAAGAGCAGCTTCTACGAGCTGAAGAGGGAGAGCAGGCTGACTGTGATCCTTGGTGTGCCTGTTTGTTTCTCTCCCTCTTCTTGAGAAGCACAAAGCATGAATTTCTGGACGGTTCCTGGCATGGGATGGCTTGCCAGGCGGCAGTTCACCGTGGCATGGCAAGCTGAACTTCAAAAAGGTAGACAGCCTTGAGCAAGGATTGGGCCTGGCTACTCTGCTGCAGCCTTAATATGCTTCAGGAATAGCAAGTGGACTTCTGCAGCACCAGTGAATCAAAGGCATCCTCACTCTGTCACAAAGTCTTATGTGTTACCATAGTTCAGTGAGCTGTATAGTAAGATGGCAAGGATAAATGAATGGCTGAACAAATCTGACCAAATGTAGATTAGGGTACATTTGAAGTCCTATTTTAGGCCCCTGTCTGGTGGAGTAAGCTCCCCTGTGAGAGGATCAGGGCCCTGTGGGATCTGTTGCAGTTCCACAGGGCCTGTAAGACGAAGCTCTTCCACTGGGCTTTTGGTTGAGGCATCGGGTGTCCCCTTCCTTTGGCTGGCCTCCATCTGTAGCCTGGATCCTGAGATCTTAAAGATCTTTTTAAAATTCTTAAAATTCTAATACCATCAACCACTAAGGTATTTATTTATTTATTTATTTTTCAGATTTTTACCTCGCCCTCCTGGCCGAAGGTATCTGGTCTTCATTATACTTTGTATGGCACTTCGGAGCTATGTTATTTTATATTGTGTTTTAATCTGATTTTAATTGTGTTGTATTTTAATACTGTTGGAACCCACCCTCAGCCCGTTGAGGGGAGGGCAGGATATAAATCCAAATAAATAAATAAAATAAAAATAGTTATGGCAGCAAATAAATGTTTTACCCTCACTGCATCTGTACACTCCTGTCCACCTGAACTAGTGGTTAAAGCTTATATCTTGATCCCTTACAGTTTGTGGCTCAGAACCTTCAGTAGATTGCTTTCAATCTGTTCATGTCATGACTACTGTTTTTGACCTATGACCTTTGTGGCTGATCCTGGTCACTGAGAAGAAGTTAGTGCTCTAGATGATAACTAACCTTGTTGAGGGATGGAGTAACCTCAGTATGGAGAACTAGTCTTACATTTCTATATTCTAGTCTAGCTCGCATTGTTTCTTTTAACTCACAGTTGTTGTCCTTCTTCAAAGAGATCGGCTGACGGAGAATTTATGCCGGTAATCCGGCTCGATCGGCCACTATAGAGTTGCTTGGCACTTGCCTTCTTCGTGGGAGGAGGTCAAAGCCCAATTCAGCTTCTTCCGAAGCTGGATTACGCCAACCTCACACTCCCTCTAGGGCGCTGCTGCCTGCTTGTCCCCCCCCCTCGCTGGGGAGTGATGCGTTGGGCTGTATATTGCCCAAACTGTCAAAAGTGGCCGTCGCTCGCTTCGCACGATCGCGAAACGCTTCAGTCCTCCATCTTAGCCAGACCGGAAGCCCCGTTAAAGCTTATATCTTGATCCCTTACAGTTTGTGGCTCAGAACCTTCAGTAGATTGCTTTCAATCTGTTCATGTCATGACTACTGTTTTTGACCTATGACCTTTGTGGCTGATCCTGGTCACTGAGAAGAAGTTAGTGCTCTAGATGATAACTAACCTTGTTGAGGGATGGAGTAACCTCAGTATGGAGAACTAGTCTTACATTTCTATATTCTAGTCTAGCACTTGTTGGGTGGGCATTGAGTAAGCTATAGGTGTTTCTGAATTAAGCAGACAATCTACGTCTAATCTTATTTCAGCCCTGAGTTTGGTATTGTAATAACCAAGGAAATTACAGTACCAAACCCAGTTCTGTATTACTGCCTCCTCTCTTTTCCTGACTTCCTGCCTATAGCTCAGATGGGGAAGAAGGAAGTTTCAGTAATGGGGGGGGGGGACTGATCAAACCCTGCGTGTGCACTTTTGCTGGAGCCGTTTTAAGTCATCTACTGTAAGGACAAAATAGTATATAAAATGATATAACAAATACATTTTACTGTACTATTAAAATATTATCTTTGAGATAACAGTGTAGCGTGCTAGCCGTGCATACTGTAAAATGTTTTATTTGCCATTGGTAATAAAATTTGGAGGGGAAAGTAAATGGGAGGAACACCTATGAGTAAGCATTCTCTGTTTTAGAAATATTCTTTCACTTTGAATATGTTTGTGCATAGAGAAGCAGATCAGTGTACATCTGTAAGTGATATCAGTTGTATCCGAATACATTAGTCCAGCACACATAGCTAATTTTATTAAGAGTTTGATGTGTTCATGTTGATAAAGAGGGTGATTCAGAGTATGCACATAAGATCAAAGGGTAAAAATAAATATTCTGACAGTGCATTAAGTAGCACTTTCAAAATTATATCCTGACTGTCTCATTAAGGATAGTAGTGAACATTAAGACTGAACTGCTTATTAATTGGAATTTATATGCTACCTGTTACATTGGCTTGTATCATTTGTTCCTACCATTGAAATGAATTGTAGTCCACAGTTGGTGGTTCTGTCCGCTGTTGACTGCCATGCCTTTATCAGTTCTACTAGTCAATTGGTAATCCCTCTTGGAATCCATACGTGTAGTCACTGTTGGGTTAGTGCTATCATGGCCAGAGGGAGAAGGAAATAAGCCAAGCCTTGCATAGAAAATATCGCTTTGCCTGGCTTCGGTTTTCAGAAACATGGGAAAGAAACCCAGGTGCATTAACATAGGCAGCAACTTAGTTATATATCACATGTTGTATGTTCATTATTTTACGCACACTAGGTTGCATACTTTGCATGTGTAGATTTGCAGGAGAGTTCTGCATCAGCTGAAGCTTTTGACAGTACTTCTAATTGCAGGTTTGCTAGGGTAGCAGTAAATACAAGAGCTTGTGCTCTTCAGCTACAGCCTGTCACTTCCTACATGGTTTCAGGGGAACTGACCTTCTGTCTCCTGGGATCTTTGGGAGATGGGACATTAACTGATGATGACAGTGGGTATATGTGGTAATATTGATGAGATCTGGGATATAGCTAGTGTAGTTGGGTCTTAAGAGCATTCTTAAGACGGGTAAATTCAGGTATTATAATTTGACTACAAAGAATGCCCGTTGTAGAACTGAAGACAATGGGGCACTAGCCTGGCCATGGGTATGGGTCGCCGTCTCCATCTGCCCCCCCCCCCATGGTGAAGCTGGCTGTCCTGCCCCACACGGTTGAGGCTCCGGCGGGCCAAGGCGCCTGGCCTCGCCCCTCCCCCCAAGCACCCCCGCTCAAGGCACCGGCAGGGGAAGCTGGCCAGGCTCGGCCCTCTCCCCGCAATGGGCGTGAGCCCGGCCGGGTGCAGGGCGCTGTCTACTCCCCCCCCCAACTTGGGGAAGCAACCCGCATTCTCCCTCGCAGGGTTGAGGCCCCGGTGGTTCCCTGGCCGGCCTCAGGCGTGGTGGCACGGCGCCATCTCCCCTCATCTGCAGACCACACGGGGGAGGTGCGAGGGAACAGGCCCCTGCCGCCTCCCCTGTTGGCCACCCCCGGTGCCTTTCCAGGCGGTTGAGTGGAGCCAGTGCATGTCGGCCTGGGCCGCCTCTTGGCTGGTGGTGGCTCCTGGCTGCCGCGGCTCAGCAGTAGTGGCATGGCCCCGTCTGTGGCCTGCAGGCCAAGTGAGGGTGTCTGGCCAGTGGAGCACCCGGCCCAGGCCATGGCTCGAAGGAAACTGAGGCCAAAAGGGTGATCGCTGCCTTCGTGGACAGGAGGACACCCACACAGGCGGCAGCACAGCGAATGGAGAGAGACGCCCTGTGAGTGACACACCAGGGCGCCAACCAATTCCGGAGTGTGTGGAATGTTCTAGAGAAGTGCCACCACGATTCGGCTTTTATTTATAAGGGAGATTGCTAGGCTCATTATTGTCAAAGTACCCAGTGCACACCTGCTCCCTCATTGTGTCTAGGTTCATTTGCTATGCTTCCAGTATAGGTTCTTTGTTGGTGTGGCTCCTTGGGTCCTGTTTCACCTGTGTAGAGAATGATTAGAGTAGTTATGTTCACCTTTCTAAGGATCGTGTCAACAGATACCAGAATTCTTTGAAAATTTTGGAGCTGTTTTATCAGACCAAACTAGGAAGCAGGAAGATTAAATGCAATATGGATTAATTATGTTTGGTTGTAGTACCTGTTCCTGAAGAAGAACTGTGGAAATGGGATATTACCAGTCCCCTGTTAACTGGCTCACCTTGTTGCTTCACTGGGAAGGTCTGACTCAGATAGGAAATCTGTTGGGATTTGGAGGTGTTTTCAATATTGAACTGACACCAGAGATATTTTGTATAATATTCTTCATTCAGATATGAACATTTGATAAATATTTACAAGTTATTTTTATAAATTCTTCATTATCATATTCATGGGTTTCTGGTCTTTTGTTAGTTTTTTCCATACCATGAATCTCCACTTTTTGCTTTGGATTTCTACTTGGTGTATGTTAACCAGCAATGATAATGGGTAGAGTACCTTTAGCTTGAAGCCATGGCTTAACCTCATAATCATGTCTCTCTCATAGAAATAGGATACTTGCTTGGCTTAAGTAGATAACGTTTGCTACATAAATTTTCCTTAACGTGTTCTCCTAGGTACTTCTAATGATTTCAAGTTTGGAATGTTTCCTGCTATCTCAAATGATTTCAAGTTTGGATTGTTGCCAGGTACTTCAAATGATTTCAAGTATGGATTGTTACCTGAATCTTGGCCAAAGGAAACCTGGGAAAATGGCAAGTAACTTTTATAAATATTCATAGTTGTCTCTTTTTGTAACGTGTATTCTGATTTCTGTGTGCAAAGGTAATGACTGTTAAGAATTTTTTAAAATCAGTTGCTGAGAGTTGGTCTAAGAAACTTTTAATTACCACATAAGAGCAAATTTCTTCTTTAAGCGTCCTAATAAATTGCAGTTTACATAATGTATTTAAAGTGATAAGGCTAGCACGTGTTCTGGTAGGTGTGCTTTAAATTTTGCAGGATTAATGTTGCATAACAGTTATTAATCTATTGGTTATTTGTCATTTTCAACACTTATTACACTTTGCTGGCTTTTGGACAGGGAACACATTTAAAAATGGAAGTTGGCCTAGATTAGAGAACTGATTCACATCCTTTGATGAAGTCGATGTGTACCAATAAACACAAACATCCAGTTGAAAATATACAGAAGTGTCACATGATTTACCAAGTAGTAGAGTTGTATCTCCAGGATATATTTGGTTGGGTAATATATTGTAGAGTTGAGGAGGATAATAAATGCAAA